GTGATAATTACGAACAAATTCTCAGTCTTTACATTTTCGGACCAATAACAAATATTTCGGTCTCTGTTTAGTTCTAAAAACTTTCAAGACATCCTCAAAAGTATGTCTCTACATTCTCTTCAGTAATGCAAATATCTTATTAACTAACATGCATCAACAGTCTAACTTTTTCTGACAGAAAAAGCCGCTCTGAAGCTAAAACGTCTACATCTGAACACTTCCTCTGTGCCTTGGTAGAGTGATCTGCTCAATTTCATCATCAGAGTCTTCCTCTACTAGTCGCTGGCGTGAAGATGATGACTTAAGGGGAACCGAGTCGAATCCGTCAGATGTTCTCTGGAAACATATTGATGGCAACATGAAGCAAGGTAAGTCAGCTCAAGTAGCTCAATGTGAACGGGAATGAGGGGGTTACTGACCTCGCGTGAGAAAGACTTAATTTTGGTGAAAAAGGATTTCTTGGTGAGGTCCATGAGGTCGTCCTCTGCATCCTCTCCCTCCATTATTGCACAGCTGTCTGCGGTGGGCAGCTCGCACTCCCTACCCCCAGAGGTCATCATCAGCCTGGAGTATTTATACTGCAGCCTGCAGATAGGAGACAACAGGAACAGCACCTTGTTCTCTGTTTTGTCTTTGATGTATTTAACGGTTTGGATGTGCCAGCTGTTCAATAAACACTACAGGAAGTATAGAGTGTGATAGTCTCACTTGCGTGTCTTTTTCCAAAAATAACAGATGAGACTGATGAGCAACACAGCAGCAACGGCTCCAGTGGAAACACCAAACTTGAGCCAGAAATCCAGAGTCACGCAAGCGCTGACTTTTTGTGCAGGCAGCGGCTGTCCTCCGTAACACTGCACAGGCTGCTGCCACACATAGGTGGTTCTCTGAAACACACATACGAGCATTTAGTCCAACTTTCCTCCCTCGTCTGTCTTGAGAATTATGCTTTCTGGTGGAGAGATCTGATAAGCAGAGTGCTATCAGGCTCATATTGTTCAGTTAGCTACAGGCAGCAGGAGATTAGCATTTAGTGAAAACTAGACTTTTGATGAATGAGCTTGAGATATGGTAAGCAGTATGCTAACTGGACACACTGGAAGAGTGAGCTTAAACTGAGTGCTATCAGTCTTCTCATCTTACCTGCTGGAAATTGTAATTCACATTATGCTGAACTGACATTTAATCTCCATAAAAGATGCTTGTGCTTCACTTTAAATCACAAGGAAAAGTGCACTTTATCTCTTATCTTAATCATTGTCTAAATATTTTTTCTGTAATCCAATGCAACAAAAAATATTTTTTTCTAATTATATCTTTCCATAAAACAACATGAAATGTGGAAAGATGTGATGATGGATCTGACGCAGAGGAGGATTTTTGGCAGTATGTCTGCGGGTATGGAGCATTACCTGTATTCCCTGGATGCAAGCACTGACGATTTCTCTGTAGTGGTTTTTAGTGCAGAGTGGACACGCATGCTGGCTCTGCCACAGAAAGTGGAAAGTGCAACCATCGCATGTCCCCTCTGAACAGTTACTGTGGAGGAAAAGAAAGTAAGACAGACGGTCAGAGGCTTTAAAAACGATCTAAGGGGAGTCACTCTGTCTGCAGCTCTGAATGTGACAACTATTAGTGCAAAAAAAACGGCTGCTGTTTGTCAACAAAGCAGTCGCTAGTCGACTCTAGACAGGTCGAAGGTCGAGCTCGGTTTTTGTTTACAGCACCTTGGCAGCATGATGCGATTTTTAGCGGTCACTGTGGGATCGCATCTCATCCTGACTGTAGCTGACCGGCCTTGTTGACAAGACTGAGTTGCGTCACTGGACCTGGAAACATCAAAAGCACACGCCAAGTGAGAAATTTTAAAGTGCTCTTGATTCTCTGTTACATTTTAATTTCTAAAAGATGATCAAAGCTTCTTTTTTTTTTCAATGAATATTTACTACTGAACCATCTACATGGATCAACAAAATGAATGAATAGCTGTGAGCTCACTTACTTGTAATAGAATAGAACATCGGGCAGGCCCAATGCTGCAGGGAACATCCACTGTGGAGAAGAGATGTTACCAAGTGTCGTCTCAGTGGTTACACCTTTGGAATTGGAATACATGTGCCATTATGATATATTAGATATACAAAGTAAAGTATATTTGATACCTTGTAGCAGGCTGCATAGAGCTAAAAGACGTGAGACGTTGAATCAAGCAAGGGACTTTTTAGTCATGTAAGTATGAAACTATATGCTGGAGGGTTAAGGAATCTGCATGTAGCTATAAGTGAATATTGAAATCTTCATTTAAAAAAATTTATGAAATGTTTAAAAAGGCACAATTATGGCCCTACACTCCAGCAGAGTAAACACTCCACTGTTCAAAAATAGTAGCTGAAACACTTCTAGTAGCATCCTTAGGGTTATTAATTTATTAATTAATTAAAAAAAGACCTGTGCTAATCCTGAAAGCAAATGTCCAGAAATTGCTTTTCTGGAGCACCAATGACCTTGAACACTGAGGAGCAGGAGAAATGCAAATCCTCACAGCCAGCTTAATTATTATCTGAACACACTTTTCAATAAATGATTAACAAACTCCTGCAAGTGTCTCATTGTATTTACAGCAAAAACCAAAAACCTATTCATTCAGTTCATACCAATGAGTGAGTCACCAATAAGGAAAGGCTGTGAGGACACAAGGCTCTGACTCCTGATGTCAGAGGGAACCACAGTGGACTGACAGACATAACCTTTGACCTCTCTCCCACTCTCTGTTACGTTATCCACACAGGAAGCTGGCATTCGGCCCTGTGAGAGAAACACAGCAAGGTTAAAATGCACGTCAAACGCAGTTCTGCAAAAAAGAAACGTCACTTGGACGGTTGCCTTCTCACCTCTGTCCCACACAGGCCCAGATTAAAGCGATGGAAGTACCGCAGGCCTTTGCTGGTGAAGCGGGGGCTGCTATGGACGCTGGTGACGTTGGCCAAAGGAGAGAAATCGTAGTGCAGCAGCGCTCCTTTGCTTGTGCGCAAATCCAGTATGCAGTCACTGAGACAAGCTGTATAGGCCTGAAGGACGAGGTGAGCGTGTCAGCACACATCATACACTGAGAGAAACACCTCACGTTCTGTCTGTGGGAAAGCCAACTATTATAGCTGGCATGTATATGGCAGAGACATATGATTTCCTTTGCTACTTTAGAGCCAAGTATTTCATATTTAATACTGAAAAATCGAAATAAATTTGCACAAAACATTTTTTAAGGAATAATTTCCCAAAAAATGCCAGATCTAGCAAATATTATACAAATGAAAATTCATATATGCAAATGAACATTTAATTTCATTAAAAAAAAAGTAGAATTTTCAAGCAATTATTTCATGGTTCGGGCTTTAAAGAGTTAAGGAATCACTGTCTTTTGAGGATTTGTTTTCTTGAGTGAAATTCTTTACATATTTACAAATTAACGATAAACAAATTTTCTTTAATGGTAGTGAATAAAGAGCGTCTTGGATAGTTTACAGAAGCTCAACAGACATGAAATCACAGAATAAACAGAAAAATCACTTTCCACAATAAAAGACGTCAATGTTTTGGGTCTTGTGGATTTCAGACAGTAAAGTGATTGATTTGTTTGAGCATGTGGGATTAATTTGTGTAGTTTTATTGTGAGATATACCAAAAGAAATGGAAAAAAGAAAAGACAGCCTGTTTTATAGTTTCTTTCCTCATTCATGCCCCAAATTACTTTTTTTTTTTCTGTTTTTTTGTTTTATGTTTTTCTGTCCGTTTGCATTCTGCAATTCCACAAGGAATTGTAATACTTGTAAAGTGTGCACCTGGACACATTCATGTGCTGCTTTCGGAAAGGGTTTTTTTCTACACCTTGTTTGTCGTTGTGTTTGGCCCACACCGAATACAAGCAGCTTCCCCAACTGGCTGATCAGTCCTAATGAAGGTGTTTGGCGGGCACTTCTGACACGCTCCTGTCCCGTTGACCATGTAGTGTCCCGGTGGGCAGAGAACACAGGCAGAGCCGGCCTTAACAGACGTCAGAGCGCAGCGGCGACACTTCGTGGCCACGCCTCCGATGGCGTTGGTGATGACGATGGAGTAGATCTTTGCAGCATCTGCGCTGTAGTTCCTCTCCTGAGGGAATAGAAATACAAATGTGCCCTGCTTAACAGGAATGCAGTTTATCATTTAGCTCTATTTTATAGTCAGTATAAAACGGAGAGAAGGAACAGAGAGAACAAAGGTCATTTAGACTGAAGTGAATGCACAGCTCCAGACTGCCATCTAGAGACTCGGTACAAAGTTCTCAACAAATCAACCACAACCAACATGACACTGCAGCAGGTGGTCACAGCAAATTCCAGTTAGGATTAAAAACATGGACAGACAGTTGCAAACATATTATTTGCAGTATTTATTGCTTTGTGTTCTTGTCCTCCTGTCAAATCTCTCTGCAGGTAAATTTAAACCTTGAATATTGCTGCACTTTTAAAAGCTGACACGTTGTTTTTATGGCTGAAGGTTTTAGTGTGCGTGCAAGGGGTGCGAGCGAGAGGTTGAGAAGAAGAAAGATGGGGAGTAGAGGAAGCAGTAGTAGTAGTAGAAGAGGAGGAATAAAAGAAGATAATTAAGTACGATCCAGTTCTGAAGCATTCCCCAAACAGAAGACCGTAAAAACTCCAACATCTTAATTATACATTAATATGATGCTCTTATTTTATTCATCTAAATGTGAATAATTGAACTGATAACCATGAAGTGCATTAGTGACTTTATTGTATTCTGATTTTACTTATTCATTTACTCCACATTAAAAGGAATAACTTAAAAAGTCCAGTTGACTGAGGGAGAGATGGATGACTGAAGATAACAATGACTGTCAAACATACAGCCCGGGGACCAGAAATGGCCCCGCCAAAGAGTCCAATGCGGCCCACTGGATGGCGTTAGAATATTAAAAAAGAAAAAATAATTTTTTACGTTTCTCTGTATTTAGGTCAGTTTTACAGAAGTACAGTTTACTGACAAAGAAATCTCTCAGAGCCGAGCATAATACATGTAAACAGGTGAGTAAGAAATAAACCATAACAGTGAAGTTCCTGTTTCTACCCTTTTTTATTTTATTTCGTTTTATTTTTAAAAACAGTGGGTCCAGATTTTTTCCTGTATTAAAAAGCACATTCTCTGTAAATTAACAGTAAATTTCTGTTTTTAACTACAGTGCAAAGAGTACTTTGGTCATTTATTTTTTAAAGCATATGCCCAAAAAGCCATGCTGGGGTTATCAGGCAGTGCTGTAGTTTCACTGGTCCACCCAACTCAAGATGAAATTACCCACTGTGTGGATCTCAATATAAAATGAGTTTGACACCCCTGGTCTAAATAGGGAGTCTGGAAAAAATTTACTTTTGAAGCTGAAATATGAATTTGCTAAGAAGGAAATAAATCAACCTGAGTAGGTGGGATGCGTGTCTGTATCTCACCGTGCCATCTGTTCGCTTAAACGTCCAGGTGAAGCTGATGGTGCTGTTGCTCTGGATCAAGTAGGAGTATGACTGCTTGTGGTTTCTGCCATTCCAACGCTCCACCACATCGTTGTTCCACTGATTGTATCCCTACAGAAACAAAAGCACATTCATTCATTTATTCATGTGCACATTATACATCCTGAAGGAGTCATGCTACAAAAATGTTGGGACACCATCCTCACCGCCAGGAAGTAAAGTTTACAGTCAGCTGTACAAATGGTCTCAAAGACGAAGGTGATGCGAGATAGCTCACTCCTCTCAGCGTCTTTGACCATGGACTGAGGCAACCTGTGAAAACCAGCGGCGTTTTATTAGACGTCTTTAACAACTCAAGCTCAAATTTGAAGAGAAACTTTTATGTTTAGTTCTTGTTTGACTTCACCTGTATCCAGGGACACTGAGCGTGAGCATTAAATAGTCTGTGTCCTGATCCCCGGGGGTGGTGTAGATATACTCTCCAGCCACCTCCCACGCTGCCATTACAAAAGATAAAAGCTGTAAGATACATTTTATCCCAACAGCAACGTACACATGCAAACATACTGTGGATCATTTTTGAAACCAAAGCAAACTAGTTTAATTTTTAAATGAATTCCTCTAATCTACTTACAACTAAGGATCTATTACACAATTCACTTCAACCATTACATATGCTTCTGAAGCTGATGTGCAGGTTTAATTCTTGGCCTTGGAAAGTTTGCAAACTAGCAAATTATTATCTGTGCCTCAGGCTGTTTAATCACTTTGCTATCTTTCTACTTTGAGAAGTTCCTCACCACAAGTTAATGAATATGTCTATTCACCCATAGTAAGAGATCATCAGTACATCATGAAAAGGTCAGCCATTTGTCACAGGGTTAAATCACAGAAACAGACAACTATTCACACATCTTTAGACTACAGGAGCGAACCAGAATACTGAACTAAGCCAATGCAGACAGGAGGACAACATGCGCACTCTACACAGAAAGGCCTCAGACTGGATTCAAACCCCATTCTTGCTGTGTTAACCAATGCACCACCATGCCACCTACACCTCATTCTCTAATATTAAGGTTCTCACCAGTACGCCGGTTAGAGTCACTGAACACTTGATTGTAGACGGTGCTCTTCATGTTGGCTGGCATCTTGTTCCACCATTTGTACTCAAAGCCCACCACCGGTTCTGTGCCAGCAGGGCACTCGGTGCAAACTGAGCAATCAGTGGAAAATCACATCAGGATATTAGGTCATTAGTGTCAACAATATTAGACATACCACCTTAAATCTTATGACATTTCCTCTCATGCTGTCTAAAAATGTAACTAACTATTAACATGATTGCCTTATTTTTTTAATATCACATGATCAAGGCCAAAATAAAACTATAAGGCCGACATCAGTAAAACACAGTAAAAAGGAGCGGAGTGGCTCTAACCTGTGCCATTAGAGAAGGATCCGCTGGGACAGGGCTCACAGGTGGAGGAGTTGGAGACAAAGAAGCCCGGGTTGCATGGCGGACAGGTTTGCTTCTCCCCTGACGCGGGAAGCTTCAGTGCTCCTTCGACAGTCTCACTGCAGATCTTAGGCTCGATCCATTTGTACATGAGCTGAGTCTGAGACACACACCAATACACAAAAAGAAGAGGCAGCAGTGGCAGCGTTACAGCTCAATCAGATCATTTATGTTAAATGAAGCCTAACATTTACACCAGTGGGATTTTTAAAGAAAAACCTCTACTGAGCCAGCAGGAGCTCTACTTCCACGTATCATTACCTTTCCCTCAGAGTCACAGGGGGTGTGGGTGTAGAAGTAGTCACTGCTTGTACATGCAGGTCTCGGTTTGCAGCTCGCTGAACCGACGACTGGAAATGTTTTTGGATGAGGAAAAACGCACAGCACACATTTAAGTCCAGAGAAAAGATTAACTTGACCACTAAGCAGTAACTGCTGCATTTGCATGTGTGTGGAACGTAGCAGTTGTAAGTCTGTAAGAACGCTTTACTCCATCTGGACAGAGATAAGCAAACGGGCATACCTGCGTATTTATCTTCCTCGCATTCATGGCAAGTAGTGGCACCCTTATTGGAGTAGGTATCAGCGGGGCAGGGGGTACAACGTGCGGACCCTGGGTTTGCACTGTGGGTGCCGGGTTTACAGTGGAAACACTCTGATGTGTAGGCCACCCCTGGAGAAAACCAAAAAAAGTTAATCATTAACAGAAACAACGTGTTGGTGGGAAAAGGGAAAAGTTTAGGCCTGCTGCACTCCTATCTTACCTGATATCTGAATGTTTCTCAGCAGCACAGGTTTGACAGCACTGCCCTGCAGGGAGTATGCTATAGTTCGCCAGTACAACACATTGTTGCCCTTATTTAGTTCGACCTGTACAGAGACAGAGTGGGGCATTCATTTATTCAAAAGTTCCCCAGGGCTGGCCTTGAGTGCACTGAAGTGCTAAAACTGCTTCCTGGACAAACCGTGTATTTGCTCCAGCTGCTCTCTGAGATCCGCATCCACCGGCTGTTAGAGTCTGTCGACTGACACTGGTCATTCTGAACCTGCAGGAAGACGAGAACATTTCACCAAATACTCACACCGAAAGGTGATCTGTGTCAGCTGAAGCAGCAGTCATTTACAATCCTTACAAAGAACTCAAAGTAGATGCTGGTGTCAGGATAGAAATATTCAAAGGACAGACTTCCAGGCTGTTTCAGGTTCACGGCGTAGGACAGCGTCGCAGTGCATTCATCTGTGTTTGAGGCTATGTAGTCACCCTTTGGTGTCCAGGTTGAGCTGCAAAAACATCAGCAAGCAGCAACAGTTTAAAAAGGTTTTGAAAATTGATACAGAGGGCCTCAATCAATCAGATAAATCTTGACAGGAGGAGGGAGGGGGCTTGGTACTGTGAATACTAACTTGGAGCAATCCGTTTGGTCATTCCCCTCATTCGTTATCGCGCCGTGAGTGACAAAACCAGTCGGCAGGCTGTCCCACTCGTCAAAGGCCACGCTGGTGCCCAGAGAGTAGGTGCCCGCAGCACATTTCTGACACTGCTGTGACTGCATATCAAGATACTCCCCCTCATTACAAGAGAACGCTTAAAGGAGACAAAGCACATGCTGAGAATGGAGATGTGCACCTGACAGTGAGCGTATCTGTTGTGCAGGTTGAAGACTTGGAGAAAATGCCTGAAATAAAAGTAGGTTACTGCTTACTGCACTGAGTCCCTTTGACTGGATCTGGGAGGCCCGTGCATATGTCGGCTTTGTTGGGAACTGCAACTCTCCATCTCGACCCGAGGACGTCACACTCTGTGTACTCAAAGTGATAATCTGACTGCAGGGATGAAACACAGGTGTGAGTTTCACACAGTTGGACATAAAAGCACACAATGGATAACTTGCACAGCCGGAAGTGGGAATAATAACTGTACATAAAAAAAAAAAGCAAATGTAAATAAGGATTATTTTGCAGTTTATCTGCCCATTTTGATTCCTCACATGTTCAGCATGTAAATTCCTCACACACAGGAACACTAAACTCATTGTTGCACCCTTGTTTTAAAAAAAACAAGAATTCCAGGTTGCCTTATACTTCAGGAATCTTTTCGCCAAACCAGGACAGCCTCTTTTACAAATAAAAGCGGAGGCTAATATTTGCCCAGGAGCCCGTCTTAACTGTTATTTTAATCACGCTTATCAAGGATACTGCTGCTTCTCTGCAGCCTTAAGGGTTTACTCAGCTGAGAGGAGAGATGCTGATTCGACCGGTCCCTTTGTAAACATTTGATTTAAGTGTTCTCGAAGAACTTTGAAGACAACAAAAGCTCTCAGTCGAATGACAAACACAGTCCCACCCATAATGAGGTAAATTGGGAGGAGACAAAACATTTAAGTTAACCTCACTGAAACAAGGCATGAACACACAGCAGGCACAGAGCGTAAACTGGAGATTTGGTCACTGGTCAATAAAAGGATGTGATATTCCAAGGAAGGTCATCTGCCACGCCAATCTACACCCACACAGCTTCATGGGATTAATAGTTAACAGAAACACAGCAGCAGCTGCACTCCTCCATCCTTGTGTTTTTGAATTAGAGCTGCAACATTAGCTGTGCTAGGGTATCAAGTGAATGCAGGTCCTGGGTGGGAGGATTTGATGTAAAAATGCATCGAACTGGAGATGTGCTGTAGCTTAATTGCCCTCTTTAAACAAACACAGGGAAACCAGGGCAACGGGACATTATGACCGCTGTGCCACATGGTGAAATAAACTGGGCTGAAAACAAGAGTCACAGAGGGGAAAGGAGCACCTAGCAGGACTGCTTTCTGAAACTGAAATAAAAAGCTTAGAGGTCCATATGGTGCAAAGTGTGCTGATCAAAAGGAGTGGTTTGAGTATTATCTCAAGCTACTCCTGTTATGCAAACTGATCACAGATATGGCGGCTGTAAGAGAGCGAGCAGGCTGTGTAGTATGTGGGACCTCTAGTAAAACAAGTGTAGGAGTACTTTAAACACTTGAAGGGGAAACATATGTTCAATCTCACAAACTGCTCAAACAAACTGCTGTTTGTGCTCATTTTAGTGTTTGCTTTTAGTCTAAAGAGTGATTCAGCATTTCACTTGAACATGTGTTACATCAAACATATGTGTGTTTTCTAGACCAACCTTTCAACCTTTCATATATTTGAAAGTCTGAAGCACACAGCACATGTACCAGCAACTGTCTGCACCCCCAGAACTAGAGTGAATTATAAATACAGCTGCTTTGTCGCAGCACACGCATGAAATAAATCCCTTGGTGATTTAGAAATGACTGAAATCACAAAAACGAATAAATAAATAATATGAATCGCCTCACCTCTTTGCACATGGGCAGATCCGCGGAGGTTTGCAGAAAAAGCAGCCACAGCAGGCAGTGGCTCAGGTGTGTCAGGCCGGGCTGCATGGTCACCTGCTGTCGGTGCTGAAGTGATGGAGACGAAGGAGAAGAGGTCTGACCTGCGCCCTCAGGTGCTGGAGGCGCGGCTTCCCTCTCACACTCTGGGATGTGATTGGCTTGGTGTTTTTACTCTGAGTCCGAGTTACCTTTTAACCAGAAACGGCCCTAACCAATCTGGCGCCCTAGGCAAGATTTTAGGTGGCGCCCCCCTACATCAGCAGTGTAGTGTAATGTTGTAACAAATAATATTTCTATTAAATAAGCTTTACTTTGCATTTTAATTAACGTGGGATTATTTTTTGTATTTAGAAATAATAGTACCAACTTTTCTTTTTTTTTCAACATTTGTGGCACTGGCGTGGCGCCCCCTGATGGACGGCGCCCTTAGCATTTGCCTGTTGTGCCAAAAAGTGATTGTCTGCCAAAAACTGATTTCCAGTGTTTCTGTGTATTTTTTCTGTGTAATATCTTTACGTATGTTCGTAAATAGACTTCGGTGAACAGGGGATACAAAGGGGTTACATAAAGAATTAAAAAATTATCTGTTTTTTAAGTATCTTTACATTATAACCAATCTGGTCCTTTATCCCCACTTAAAATATTTTTACAGAACTATTGTAATATTTGCTGCCATTTCTGCTGTCCTGTTGGGCAACTTACTCTTACAAAATACATTTTTAATGTTAATGAGATTTTTTTTATTGAATAAATAAAGGTTATATAAAAGTCGCTGCCAAAAACTGATTGCGGCTTGTATCTTGTTATACGAATGTTGTTTGTGGCTCAAGATGACTTTATGTCATCCATAAGGGATGCATTTGACATATGTTTAACATATTATAGCCCAACAAGTTACTTATAGCACTTTAAATATGAGCAATCGCTTTTTGGCAAATACCGGAAATCAGTTTTTGGCAGACAATCACTTTTTGGCACAACACCGGCCCTGCTTTTAACGATCACCGTTTTCCTGTGAAAGGTTTAACCGGAAGTTTGCTGTTGCTGAGAAACCGGGTTGTAAACGTCTTGCTTTAGCTAGAGTCGTTTAAAGGCCGCAAAAAGAAAAAATCAAACAAAGTAATCTGGACCAGTGTTTGTAGATCTAAATATGTCAAACCGGGATCCTTTCCCCTCTCCGAGGGTAGAAAACGACCTCACTCTCTGCGGCTACAGGCCGCAGCAGGTGCGTTAGCTTTAATTACTATAACTTTGCTTTGTTTTTTGTTTTGTTTTTTATAAAATTAGGGTGAATTTACTTGTAAAAGGGCAACACTTTTTTTTAGGAAAGAAGTAACAAGTTATACTGTGAGTAATTTTAAGAAGTGAGCAACTACCGAGTATTTTAGCCGAGAAACTAACGATATTTCCAAATTTTGCATGATAAATATGGTTTAAAAAGAAGAAAGAAAGTAATTACATATTATTAAGTGTACATGATGTTTTTGATTTCACAAAAACTATACTGAAATTTTACTTTACATTGGGGGAATTACACCCTTAGTTGCAGGCTGTATTACAAGGGCTTACTTTTTAATAAGAATACCATCTGGGCCTTATAAATATAAGTATAAATGTATACATAAATATTCTAACACATTATATTTTTGTTCTTTACTTCCAGTGTTCTGACACCTGTAAGTTTCCTATTTTCTTAGTCTAAAGGACTCTGTTCCACAAAGCTTTTTGGTCTGTTTTGAAAAACTGGGATGCTACAACTAGTGTTTTCTTTTGGACCTAATTGTTTTCATGAGAAGGTCACATTTACTCCTCAAATCTCTGTTTACATCTCACACATAGATTTTTTAGTACTAACATAAAATATTTAATTTCAACATCAGAATTGTAGTATCTATTTATCTATTTTTTGTTAACTGAAATGAACAGAAGTACAGAGCCAGAGGAGCAAATAAATATCCTGTTGTCTGGATTGGAGCAGATTATTTGGCTCCTTTGTTACTTTTATTGTCATTTTAAAATATTAATGACATGTTTTGGTTTTTTTTAACTTACCGGGGAACACGGTGGCACGGAGTGACTCACACAGTCCTAGTATTCCCTTGCTGAAATTATGTATAACCACTGCTTAACAGTGTGATAAATAATTAAGGACTGAAAAGTAGATTTGGACACGGGTACCTAATCCATATAATGTCACTTGATATGTAGGTAACTGATAAATGAAGTAAATTAAATCTAGGTATGCAGTATTTAAAAATACACAGTAAAACATTTCAAAGCATGTTACCTAGTGCACTTAGTTATTGTTATCTAATGAAGTTATTAAAAAATTGAACTTAAACAAATAAGAATTATAAAAACCATTTGTAAGATTTCATTCTACGTGGATGTCGTTCTATACTTAAAACTGTAAATAAGTTTGAAATTTGGAATCTATGCATATTGTTTCTTTGGAAATTTGGAATTAGTCTTATTTCTTATCCTGCAGAAAAAAACATACAATAAACCAACTCACATCGCCCAGACTGAGGAACCTTGGAGTCGCCTCCACGACACAGCCACTGTGTCCAGCACCCAGCGGAGTATTTTGAACTGTACACAGGTACAGTATGTCGTCAGCATTCACTTATGAAACCACAGAAAGGCTGAAGTATCTCTACTTTGAACGACTGATCTGTACTCAACCACAGACTCCAAACGACAGCCTTGACCTTCAGCTAAACGCGGTCTACGATCACCACAAGAACTGCTTCTGGAGCAAGAACCAGATTTTGTACCAGAAGGAGACTGTCTCTGAAGACCACAGGCGGGTGTTTGTGATGTTTTGGCAGTGGTGCATCAGGTAGTTCAACTGTGTTAAGATTATTTGTGTGTACTTTTACAGGAAAGAGGCAAACTTAGAGATGGAGGAAGCAGAAAATGGAATCACAGTGTGGGTCGACAAACAGAGGCGCTCTATTCGCATCAGCTGACACACAGGTAAAGCTTGATTAAATCAATCACAATGAACTGCAAATGTTTCATCAGCTCAGGGAAACCTAATACTTCTAAAACTGCAACTCCAACCCTAATCCACTGACCCTGGGAGGAGTGTGTCTTTGTCTGGAGTCAGGTGTGTCCAAATACAAACACAATGCACTTATCTTTGCTTCACAGGCGTCTTCAGACAGGGGCTGCTCTACAAAGCACAAGAACTTCAGCTCCGCATGAAGCTTCAAGAGCTAACATCTCTAACAACTGCTGACCTCGGCCCTGAAAATAAACGAGTTCTTTCAATGCTTCTTTATTCTGTTTGTGTTTTTCATTAAAGTGAGCATTAAAGACCAGTGTAGAAGAGAAACAGCAGTACATTTTATTCAAATATATAAACACGAGCCAACTGTTAAAGACACATATGACACAAGATATTGGCTGCATAAATAAGAAAATGTGCAAATGATGAAAACTAATGACAGATATTATGTGTGAACACTTTTCTCTTAATCTGATTTATAGATGCCAAATACAATTAAAACAAAAACAAAAAACTGCAAAAATGGCAGATTAAGGATTCTGAACATTAAGTGAAAAAATACACCCAATAATTCTTTTTAAAAGAGTTTCAAGGAGCACAGGTCATTCCAGGGGGCTCATGCCCTGGCTTTTCTTTCAAGACACCGTCTGACGAAAGCCCTCTCGTCCCACTGGTTGGGGGAGAGCATGTGGGGGCCGTTATGGATGCAAAGGATGGTCATCTCCTCGGCGTACGTAAGATTCTGCA